GTTTCCTACTTACAACTGTCGATTCCATGTCATCTAATTCCTTTCATCTGAAAAAATAATCTGTTATTCATAATAGCCTGTGTATGTATTTAGTGAATACAAACAATATCATCATTCCAATGGTATATATATATATATATATATATATATATATATATATATATATATATATATATATATATATATATTGATCCGTTGAACGAAATCAAATCTTGTTATTGGCCAATATTTTTATCAAAATTTAACAATTGATCAGTCTCTTGTTTGTATATGTGTATCCTATACGAACTGCCTCAATATTACTTCAAGTCATATATATTATAAGCATTGATGGAAAGTGGCTAGCAGTGGAATCTAGGACGCGCGTTTCATCCTATTTGGAACTCGTTACTTGGATATACCTGCATCTCAGAGTTGAAGTCCACTCAGTAGCTAAGTGGATAACGTGATGGCGTTTGAAACGAATGGCACTGGTTTCGAGTCCTGGAGACGCAGGTACATCCACCTGACGAGTCCCGAGTGGGACAAAACGCACGTGCGCTGTACCCCTCAACATCTTGAGGTACTGGTTACTATGATCATGTGGACCAAAAATGGTCTAGTCTAATGGTTAACTATTTGATAAAATGATGCCATATCTTACTTTTCTCCGACTTAATTCTACACTAACTAACATCGACAGTTGTGTTAATCACTGGTTTTATATGTGTAACACATGTCCCTACCACATTAGTCGATGAATACCCATCACTCCGTAATCGATCAATTTGTCATTTTGGTTTAGTACCATTATGTCTAACCTCACCATTGCTCATTCAATCATTCCATAAGAAATAAGAAATATTTCTAATTTACCTATAGTCGGTAAATTGTAGCCTATCCGTAACTTCTACTTCCATTGACTAGGTTTAATAGGAATAAAGTAATGCAGACAGGATGATCATTCCTATTTATCAGGATTTATATTTTTCCGTTGTTGAATATGATCAGGTATTGTCAGCGTTATGACCTCTTTGATCGAAAATATCTTAATATTCTTCATTAGTTACAAGTTATTTCATGTTTCATATTATTTCTATTAATATACATTAACAACGAGGCTCAGAGCAACATAAACTTTAAGCTATTCACTCATTCGATTACAAACAACACTATCTTACTTTTATTTACTAACCGTTTCGTCAATTCCCAACCTTTCACTTTCTTCGATTTGAGTTCCACTTCTTCACACACACACACACACACTCAAATTCAGTCTAGCCAAGTACTAATCATTTCAAAAATAGAAAGTCAAGTACGCCATTAAAGGCAAGTTTTAAATGGCATATTAAAACTTTAGTATAACGGTACAATACATTTTAATTTCCCATGGGAACTACAAAATTAGTACTAATATATAGGCGGGGGTGGGTGGAAAATTTAAGCAGAACGTTACACTGATTCAGTAAAACGTTCAATTGGCCAAATGTTCATTCATGGGTGTGTGGGTGTGTGTCTCTGTGTGTAGGTATATGCATAAGTTTGTATATTAAAAACTTTTTATTAAAATATTAATTCCTTTTGAAGATAACCAAAGTCAATTTAAAACTTGAAGTGAATTACTTTTAGTAAAAGCTTGAAGTTTGAATTTTATTAGCTGTAATAATGAACATCTTGCAGTACAGTTTTTTGAATAATAAGAATCGATAAGTCCTGGGTTTGAATTCCGCGGGCGGGATTGTTGATGATTAGTGTTGAGAAGTCTCATAATAGGATGAAACAACCGTCCGATGCCTCCAGGTTTTTCATGGTGGTCTATCTTTAATTAACTCATGAATTCAACCATATAATTATTATCTTGATTAGATCAAGTCTTATTAGATAACTGATATGATTTATTATGATTCATCAATTGTTATTACATCTCAGTCCTACAGGAGGTTGGTCGCGGCTCGGATAGCTTAGTGGTTAGCGTCTCTGACTGTGAAGCCAGATGACGCGAGGTCGGATCCTCCAGGGAGCACCAGTCCCCCCAAGGTTACAGGTACACCTGGCTCACGAGTGCCAAGTAGCACGAAACCCGGGTTCAGGGTTTCCTGTCGACTACCTCTAACCACCATCTAAACTGTTATTACCTTCTGATTAAATTCCGTTACAATCTACATATCTAAAACAGTCGCTCAACAAACGATGCAGGATAAAAAGATCCAGATTGTCTAGAAAGCTTTGAGTGACTTTTGGGAAATAATGATCTACACTACACATTCATATATATATAGACCACCATTGAAAACCTGGAAGCGCTGGACGGCCGTTTCGTCCTAGTACGGGACGTTATTACGCGACCATCTTAAATTGTCTTCGTTAAGTAACTGCCTCACACTCGAACACAGATAAACTCAATTGATCACAGCTTCTCACGAGAACTCTAAGAAGTACTTCTCAAAGCTAGTCACCAATCAGCACATGACAATTATTTCAATACTGTATTTAAGTTATAAATACTGTAGATAGATAAATGTAAATAAAATTTGTATTCATTAATTTGATTGTTTTTAACTACTACTACTACTGTGGTGTAAGCTACGTATATCCACATAAGTAGTATATAACGATGGTCAGGAATAGAATGTATTTCAGTAGAAGATCAAGAAGGAAAGAATGGAAATAGAAAGTAATTGGAATAAAAATTTAGAAACAATGAAATCTGATACAACTCACTAATATTTGCAAAAGAAACCGTCAAGTTTAAGACAATGGATTGATATATTGCAAATGAAGTATTTACTGTATGATTCTAAGATTTAAGTGAGATATTCTGTAAGTTCGTGTTGGACTACATTCGATAGTCCCCAATCATGTTCTTGTTCCCTACACTACTTATTATTATTTATTATTAGAGATCAATTAATGTATATCTAACCGATTTATTGAAGTTTTATACATACTTCAAGTCATTTTAAACAATCATCATCTTAAAGATGATCAAATTTACCACAGTTTAAAAGGAATTAGATGGAAATGATTGAAATCCACTGATTGATAAGCATATCTCTACATAACATTTAATGTTTAAGCAGTTGATGAAGATAGAAAGTTTGATATATACATATATATTCAAACAATGTATGTTTATTGAAATAAGATAGAGTCATTGTATATATGTATATAATGTATGCTATTTATGTCTACATAAGTAGTATATAACATTTATCAGAAATGGAATACTTAGCCACTGAATATTGGAAAGAAGGATGAATGTTGAGACAATTGCAAGAGGATTTCAAAATGACGTACTGAACGCATAGTGTTTATATTTGATGAAAGTACTCTGTAATTTTGTATTTAAATACTATTGGTTACCCGTATCTATATATTTGTTTATGGTGAGAGTCTAATTTAGCGACGACCTTTGAACGAATCTTAAATGACCTTGACAATTATTAGCCAATCACAAGACAGTTAGTATAAAGTGAAAATATATTGTAAGTAATGAATTACAGTGGATATTCTTCTTTTACATGATTTAAAAACTTGTTAAGGTTTGATCAAGGTTCAGAAGTTCTGAATTCATAATGCATATGGTATAGAAACTCGTCTATAGGGTTGGGGTTTTAGCCTCTCAATAAACACCCTTTCTCTAAAATCCCAAGTAAACAGATCGCATGTTAGCACTCTAACCCTAACCCTGACCCTAAACCCTAACCCTAAACTCTAACCCTAAACCCTAACCCTAACCCTAAACCCTAACACTAACCCTAAACCCTAACACTAACCCTAAACCCTAACCTAACCTCTAACCCTAACCCTAAACCCTAACCTAACCCTAAACTCTAACCGTAACCTCTAACCCTAACCCTATGGACGAGTTTCTATACCATATGCATTATGAATTCAGAACTTCTGAACCTTTATCAAACCTTAACAAGTTTTTAAATCATGTAGAAGAAAAATATCCACTGTAATTCATTACTTTCTTGTAATATATTTGTACTGCCTTCTAATTGGCTAATAATTGAAATTGGTCAAACTCTTCTGATTGGCTCGTCCCTAAATTAGAGTCTCGCCTTGTTTATTACGTGTATATATACCATTTCGAGTGGTTCACAGTTATGTCATCTAAAGTCTTAGATCATTGTTTTTAATTATCCTGCTGATCCTAAACTAGATATTTTAGATCTATATGTATAACTTGTATCCACATTGAGTAACTTTATGAACTGATCGTTATCTCTAGCTTGTTCACAAAGATTAATGTCATTATGTATATGATTTCATAGATAAAAGTTTAACCATACAAATATATATTTATATTTTAATAGTTGAATTCATTAGTCAATTAAAGATAAACCATAATGGAAAACCTGGAAACACTGAACGACCGTTTCGTCCCAATATTGTAATCATCATCAGCGCACATCTACGATCCCGCCTCACGGGATTCGAACCCAGGAGCTATTGGTCTCACACACAAACTTTTAACCTCTAAACCACTAAGCTGGTTAGCATTCAACCACGTTAATATCTAAATTCATCGATACATATACATATATATTTTAATAGTTGAATTCATGAGTCAATTAAAAATAGACCACTATGGAAAACACGGAAGTATTGAATAGCCGTTTCGTCCCAGTACTAGATTCTTTATTAGTATGCATTCACGACCACACAAGCGGGACTCGAACTCAGGACCCTTCAGTCTCACGCGCTTACGCTCAACCTCTAGGCCCTTGAGCTGGCTGGCACACAACAGTGTTGATGTCTAACTTCAATCAATCCATATATAAAAATAGTAATAATTAAATTCATGAGTCAATTAAAGCTAGGCCACCACGGAAAACCTGGAAACGCTGAACGGTCATTTCGTCCTAGTATGGTTCTCCTCATCAGTGCACAACCACGATCCTGTTCGCTGGATTCGAACCCAGAACCTGTTGGTCTCGCACACAAACCACTAACCCTAAAAGATATTCAATTATGTTTTTATTTCTTTCTTTTTCTTCTCCTTCTTCTTACAGATTTCACGTCATTTAAATAAAACGAATTATCATCATATAGAAAAACTTGCTTTTGGTATAAAATTTAATTATCAAAGTTATTTAATTATTAATTCATCTTATACATCACATATGATTGATTTATATATCACATTACCAAATCATTTCCCTAATATGAATTCCATTGAATTAATTCCTGGTTATATAAATCATATTAAATTAGAAATGTTACGTATAAAACGTATCAAACATCATTATTACCACCATCATCATCATCACCAACACCAACACCAACATCAACATCAATCATTATGTAATGAGAACAAATTTTCAACAATTATCTATGATGGTGATTTAATTAATAAACGTTTAATCTATGGTTCCAATGAATTATGTCATCGTATATTATCACAATATTTATATTTAAATGAATGTCATTGTTATAGTCCTTTCTTACCCTATGGTTACTATGGCAACATACCCATCATTAATAATAATAATAATAATAATAAAACAATGGAATATTATCCATCTTTATGTTTAAATATGTCATTATTTAATAAAAATCAATTAATTAATAATGTTAATTGTATGTATCGTGTTTATCAAAAATATAATAATCTTAGTTTATATATGAATTTAATTGAAGCTAAACAATGTGATATTTTACATCATTTACCATATTGTGATGATGTTTATTATCAAAATTTTGGTATACATCGTATTATTATGAATGAATTATGGAGTAATACATATAATGATGCAAGAGCCACATTTTTAATTCGTACATTTCGTGATGTATTTACTAATAATACTACTACTATCAATAATACTACTGATAATACTACTTATAATAATGAGAAATTAACAACTCAACAAATTTTATTAAATATGCGTAATAATTTTGGTTTATTAATTATAGAACGTAATAAACCTCAAGGTAAATTAGTACGTGAAGAACAAGAATATTCATTAGCACAATTATTATCGGATATTGGTGGTAATATGGGTTTATGGATTGGGATCTCTGTTATTGGTTTATTTGAATTTATTGAATTAATTAGTTTTATATTATATACATTATTGAATTACATCATTCATTTATGTAGAAGAAATTGAGAAGATTAAAAAAAACACACATACAAACATTTCTTTCTTTTGTTTGATTGAGATCATGAACCGATCAATGTTAGATCTAGAAATATTGGACGGCTGTTTCGTCCAATCTCGCCTCACGAGATTTGAACCCAGCCCCTATTGGTCGCGCGCGAGCGCTTAACCTCTAGACCACTGATCAACAGATAGTGTTTTATCTACAGCTTAGATTCTTAATATACCGCGTATAGCTTGAGCTGGAACTCTTCCAAGTAGCAAATGAAAAGACAGAAGACAAAAAAAGGAATGCTATTCCAAACAGTGTTACGTATTTATAATTTTTAGTGGAGACGAAATCCTCATTATAGTTAACCAATCCGCATAAGCATTTGTACAATAGGGAAGCTACACGTTATGATTCTGAAATATTCTTCCAAAAAAATGATTGGATTGAATATATTCGGCTCTTTCTGAGCTTCGTAGAGCTACCTCAAGTTCATCCGTGGACTATCCTCACATACCTGTTGCTACTTGACACGGATTAATTCCACAGGTCACGGCTTCTCACTAGAACTCCGAGAATTCCTTCACGAAGCTAGTCACTAGTGAGCACATGGTAATCATCAGTATAGGGTTGTGGAGATTATTAAGTTTTTCATTGAGATCATGAATCGATAGATGTTAAATCTATAAACATGGGATGGCTGTTTCGTCCAATTGTAGGACTCCTCAAGATTCGAAGCGCACAAATGTTTAACCTTTAGACCACTCAGCTGGTCGGCATCCAACGGTGTTAATAATAATACTATTACATAATCAGAATTTGTTTGTTTGTTTTAAATGACACCTTGAATAATTGATCAAATAGTGTCATTGTTTACAGTTGGTAATTTGACAGTCTATTGCATTCTTTTTATCATGTTGACATATTCATAGGTATATAAGGAATGTATATGTATGTTTAAGTGTGTGTGTGTGTGTACGTATGCAGTGCACATGTATGTATGTGCGTGCGTACGTATATAATTGTTAATGATAGATAGACTATGGAATTTTATTACTTATAATCAATACATTGTAGATATGATCACTTATTATTCCCTGATCATTATCTTTGTTATGAAAGAGGGAACAAATTAAGAACTTTCATCTAAATTTGATTGAACGATTTCACAGCATTTGAGGGTTGAATTAATGTGATACATTAAACAGAAAGAATGTATTTGTTCTTGATGAAGTTTTTATTCTATGAACTGGATGGTTTGGTCATTATCAGAACAAAATTCAAGTAACTGATGATATCGTTTAGAAGAATGATGAAAGTTTCACGAATAAACCATCCAGCTAGAAGAACAAAACTTTATCAAAATCATCTACCTGAGCTATAAATCTTCTCTACCAGTCAATCAGACAGCTATAAAGTAGGACCACATACATACATACATCGGCCCAAGTTGCCATACCTAGTTAGCACAACTACATGATCACCGGATTCATAAAAGTAGTTAATTCAGAGGTGGTAATATATAAAAGAATGATTGCATATAAGGATATAGTACATGAAGAAAGAATTAGCTCGTAGAAAGAAAGATGAAGCGACTTCTATCTGACGTTTGTGTTGATGATGTGGTTCAGAAGAACGATGAAAGATCCACGACCAAACCATCCAGCTCAGAGAACAAAACTCCATCAAAATCATCCACCATCTCACATTCTGTTATTTTAACGATTTGACTCACACTACATTGCCTCTTATACACTAATACAAATACCTACGTTGAACATTGTTAACATAGATTAGATGGCGTATTCAGTATTTAGAGAACTAGAGAACCACATACCTATTTATATTCGATAATTTTGATTATATTTCCTTGAAAAATCTTGGACCAGATTGCCAGTAGAAACGTTGGATTTACTTCAAATTCAAATACATTTTTCCTCTTTAATGAGTGTTTACAATCTATTGATTATTAGGTAGTGATCAATGTCATATGTATTAGGTCTTTCTTAGTGCAGATCGAAGTCAGTGATAGCCTGGATAGCTGAGTGATGATAAGATCTCTGACTGTGAAGCTGAGTGACACGGGATCGGATCCGTTAGGAAGTATCAGCTTCCTCAAGATTACAGGTACACCTTGATGAAGAGTGCCAAATAGCATGAAATCCGGGTCCAGGGTTTCTTATTGACTACCTCCAACCATCATCTTATTATGTCAGTGTGTTTTCTGTATAGAATAACAGATTGGTTGTCCCTATCTAAGTTCTCATTCAATACAGATTATTAAAATTAATTTTAGAATTCGCTAGATTTTAACAACTGAACCAGATTAAATTATGATACTTTCCCAGTGGTATACGTTGCGGAAACTTGGAGAACTGCAAAAGCCATCAACCAGAAGATACAGGTGTTTATTAACAGATATCTACGCAAAATACTTCGGATCTGTTGGCCAGACACTATCAGCAAAAAACTACTATGGGAGAGAACAAACCAGATCCCAGCGAAGGAATAAATCAGGAAGAATCAATGTAAATGGATAGGACACACATTGAGAAAAGCACTGAACTGCATCACAAGGCAAGCTCTCACATAGAATCCTCAAAGCCAAAGGAAAAGTGGAAGATATACAATGGTGTGAAAGTCTAAATTCAATCAATCTGAAACTTTCGTTCAACTATCTTTTATTGTCCACGGTATGTAACGTCCTTACATCCGACAGCGTTCCTTCATTCCAATGTTGATGTTCACATTTGAACTTGAAACCAATACCTTTCACCACAAACATCTACAAATTATTCACCAAGCTAATTAACCAAGATAGCTAACAGACTGTGAAGCAAAAATTATAATACGAACCCCGAAGTATGAAATTCACACACGTAGCACAATCTCATGATTGTCTTGATCCAGAATCTCAGTAGGTAATGTATCATTATTTAAAGAAAGAGACACTAGGTTCTAACCTCAATCCGAAAACCGATACTGGTTTCACTGCATTTAGGTGATAAGTCTCAGATAAAATCAAACAAAAGTATAAATTCTGCTTATAGTCGTTATCCAACTTTAATGAAGACAACAATTCCCTACACTCTAAGTAATAATTTGACTTGGATTTGTTGACACCGATTGTTGAATATTAGTGAATTAAAATCTAGCTGAGCATAGAAGCTAACTGGAGTTTCACTAGGAATACAAATAAATGTATTTTATCAAAATCATGAACCGATCAATGTAAGACCACCATTAAAAATCTGGAAGAATTGACCGGCCATTTCATTCTAGTTTGAGGCTCCTCAGCAGTCTTGACCAAATACCCTCCACTCTGGATCCAAACCCAGCATCTTCCGTCATGTGTATGGACGTTTAACCTTTAGGTTACTGGGCCGGCATCCAAAAATGTTAATGTCTAACTTTGTAGATCCAGTTAAATTTCGGTTCAGATACTCTGAAACTCACCTCTTAGTCAGTACCAAAACGTTATCTCAGTAAAAATTTCCAGGAACACATTATCAACATCTTATTCTTAATGAATTTTTCAGAAGCTAAGACCAAGTAAGTGTTTAACTGGAATTCGTAAATTCAGAGTTAAAATATTAAGGTAACAAAGTACATTTTAATCGAAACCAAATCATCAAGTTATTAGAAAATAAAGTCATAAAATATAAACTACTTATAAGTAGTCAATCAGCTTGTTTAAAAAACAATTTTATGGACAAAGTGATAACAATCAATTTTGTTAAATATTGTCTCAATATTTCGTTAATTAAATAGGAATTATATTTCATTAAAGCATACTTTAAGAAAAGACAGATGGTGACTAAGGATGGAATATAGGAGGTGGACTTAAGCTTGGTTAAGATAACGCATTAGGGATTTGAAGTAAAAGTTACTGAATCCGAGTTTGAATGTAGTTACCAACACGGGTTCAGGTATATACACCTGATGAGTCTCAGGTAGGATGAAACTCACTCCTTGAATCTTATTGCTTGGGATTATCCAATCTTATTGAAAACGTGTGTATAAATAGAAATATTGAAGGAATTCTCTCAGAATGCATATATTCTAAAAGTGATTGATCAGTCAGAATTCTTAATATATCAACGGAAAGATACAACTACTCATAATTTATAAGCATTTCGATTGTTAAAAAGGAATAAAAACAATGAACCATTTAACAACAGTTGTTTTTTGTTTTCTTATATCATAGTAATGTGATCATTGATTAACTAATCAACTTCAAACTAAACGAACCTTCCTAAACTGTCTATCGAAATAAATAAACGTTTTAGTACGTGGGATTTGTAATGATTGTAATATTTTCATAATTGACATCACAAACTGATCTTATCTGTACCACCACTGAATACCTGGGAGTATTAGATGGCAGTTTCACATTAGTATGAAAGTCCTCAAATGTGTACACTCACGATCTCGCGCGCAAAAAACATACAACCTATAAACTATTCATTCGGCAACCAACCGGTGGATTCCGCATTCAGGATCATGTATACACACTGCTGAAAAGTCTTGTAAAAGAAAAAAAACAGTCGTTTTAATAGTGGTATAGCTAATGTCGGTTCGTGATTTTAGTTGTGAAGATAATATTGAAATGAATTAGTTTTCTTTCAAACAAAAAACATTTTACTCAACTAACCTTGTCTAATTGTGTATCAACATAACTTGCATCTGCTTTACGCGTTTCCAAATCATCTGCATACTGTTTAACATCCTAAGATTTTATCAGTTAAATATGAAAAACACCATGTATCAATATTCAATTTATTGAGGGATTCATTTTTCGTCAATTATTTAGCATCAAGTTAAATAATAATAACAATAAACAAGGATGGAATAGTGGCTAGCAGTAGAATCCAGGACAGGCGTCTCGTGCTATTCGAGACTAATCAGCTGGATGTAGCTGCATCACAGATTTGATATTTACTCAGGGGCTGGAACTCAGTATCATTCGCTTCAGATGCCGTCATGTTATCCATTTAGCTACTGAGTAAACATCAATTCTAGGATACAGGTACACCCAACTGACGAGTTCCGAATAGGACAAAACGCGCATCCTGGATTCCAATGCTATTCACTATCCATCTCTGCTTAGAACGCTTGTGGATGAAGGTAATATCTAGGCAGTCCGTACAGGATGCACATATACCAAAAAGAGACTGATCAATTACAGTCTTAAGCAACAATTGAAAGATTCAAGTAAACAATACCGAGTGAACAATAACAATAGAAAACTATAAGGATTATCAAACTTGGATAAATAGTTCAAGTGTACAAGATAATTGTTAGCGATTATTATTATTAACGCAGATTTGGATTATACACAAACACACACAATAAATGTTGATTCCTTAAGTCAATCCGTTTTAATCAATGTAGAGCTTTGTACAAATATACATCAGATGAAGTTGTCGGACCACAATAATATAAAGGAATATTAAAACTTTAAATCTTCAGTAAGATAAGGACTGAATATATATTTGTCATTCTGACTAGTTTTGAAGCATATCAAATTACGTCTTCAGCCAGTGATCTCAGTTATCACACTGACCTCATTAATGTATTCTATATCATTTAGTTTGAAACCTTAATAGACAATCTCAGAACTAAGGTTCTTCAACTACCTCTCATTTTCTCACATGTACTCTCTCAAATATCTGAAAGCTCAATAAACCGTACATCTTTATTAGTGTGTGTTGATTATAGTAAAAGGTCAACATATAACCTCATTTATCAAAGAAACATGAATGTTAAAAGTTGGATTCAAGAAGCAATCTACACTAGACCACTATTGAATGCCTGGAAGTACTGGACCGTCGTTTCGTCCTAGTACGGGACTCCTCATCAGTGCATCTTCATGAATTTGCGTGCTGGACCTTCGGTTTCATGTGCGATTATTTAACCTTAAAAGTACTGAACCTGCATCAAACGAAGTTAATGCCTAACTTAAATCGAAACCATTCATCCATTGTCTGAGATAGGTAGCTGTCTCATTCCAACACGGCTTTCCACTAGAACTTACTAGAACATGAATTTATTGAAACTGAAAATTCTTGAATTCAATCCCATTTAAGTATATTGGGGTCGACTATTGATGTGAAGTTATGAAATATTACCAGACAATTATAAAATGCTTCATGGCTTTTGAGCAATTACTCATGGAGAGTCAGTCAGTCAGTTACAATGTAGGAACAGGCGCATACATACATCGGTCCAAGTTACCATATCCAGTTAGCACAACTACATGAACACCGGATTCATAGAAGCAGTTAACTCAATGGTGTTATTATATAAAGGAAACGTTTTTTGAAAAAAAATATAGTACAGGAAGAAAGAATTAGCTCGTAGAAAGAAAGATGTGAAATAATTTTAATCTAATAGTTTAAGGAAAAACGGCGAGTGTATACACCTAAGCCATTGTGATCGATTCTCAACCATGTTACTCAGAATTTCCAATCAATGGTTACGATAGTCATGCGAACTCCAACCAAGCAGTTTGTGTCTACCAACATGGCTCAGACTAGAAGTTAGTGATTTCAGTGACTGATGGTACATTTTGGTTTGACTATCTCTAACTTTCTTCCAACCATACCCAAAACTAATCATCATTACATGTCGTGGTATTCGGTGTTCAGGCATACGTAACACGTGACCCAACTGATTTACCATCATTCTTTAATACTCTACATCTAACCTCACTATTACTTACCCGATGATCCCAGTAGATACCAATAACATTTTCTAAGACATCTATGATCAACTACTAATTGTTTATAAATCTCTTCAACTCTTAATGACCATATTTCACAGTCATTAAGTAAAACAGAACAAACTGTTATGCAATATACTTATCTCTTAATTATTAATCAATGAATATCTTACCTCAACAGTATGATGGAGTTTTTTAAATTGTAATTGTACATTAGTAATTGTATTATTCAATTGATTAATTTGCTCTTGTAATATTGACATGGTATTTTGTAATTTTTTCAATAATTTCTTATCCTATTTTAATGTAAATTAAAGAGTGTTGTTTTTAAAAGAATGATCCAAATTGATATAATCTCTATCATGATACATTTGAATAATTAACAAACTTTAAAGAATAATTGTGAAACGTAAATAAGACTCAAGATCTTGGAATTCAAGTCTCATCTACGAAACCATTTTAAATGATTGTTCAGTAGTTTCAATTTCCTAATGGTAATCAATTATCGATCGATTTTATGATCCTTAATCAATATCTGCATGATATTATAACAATTCATGTACAATTGAATTTATTCTCATTTCATTCAGTTAAACCCTTTTGTTAACTTATTTAATGGACAAAGTTATCCGTACTAATAACAACAACAACTTATTGTACATTGATTATTGTTGTGATCGTATGAAATATGTATTGGTTGATGTTAGACACTAACACCATTGTATGCCGTCTCAGTGGTCTAATGGTTAAGTGCTCAGGCGCGAAGCCAGAAGTTCCTGGGTTCGAATCCCGCTCGCGGGATCGTGGATGCGCACTGCTGAGGAGTCCCATACTAGGACGAAACGGCCGTCCAGTGCTTCCAGGTTTCCAACGGTGGTCTAACATCAATTGATTCATGATCTCAACCAAAAAGAAATATGTATACTTGAATATTGTTTATCACTTATGTAAATATTCATTCTGTTAGCTTTATTATTAGCTGCTTAATTGATTCGATAATCCACTCATTTCCCTATATATATATACACTCTCGACTTGCTGACTCACTCATTCACCTCACTGATTTGTTGTTTGAGTTATCTGCTAATTAAAATTGAAGTCGCTGCTTCTCTTTGCCTTCTGATTTCAAACATCGTTGAGGATTATATGGTAACAGTTATGAGGGTGATTGATCAATGAAGCACAGACACTACAATATACATGAATCCTAAGCGTATTGTTTTGATAGTCATTTCAATTAAGATGAATTATGACTAGTAATGGAAACTACAACTTACAGTTTATACTATTCAGAACTTATAAGATGAATATTCCTTGTTGACACATGTTATAATCCATAGCAAAGAAAAAGTTTAGTCAAGTCAAACAAGGATAAAATACAAATGAAATAAAGCTTTTTAATGTTTGCCTTAAACAAACTGAGATCACTGTTTACTTGTAACTAAGTGAAATTAAGTTAGTAAATCTCTTAGCAGAATTAACTCTTAGTTAATACATACTGAAACCAGGTTCAAATCGATACACTCTGATTGATCAATTTTCAACTATTAGGCGCTAGTGGATAAATAGAGAAGATTATGGAAAATTCTTATGAAAATTCTGTATAAGTGGCTGAGTTTTTAGTATTGCATTTTTGTTACTCAAATCTAGTGAAATATCCTCTTGTGGTCTTCCAGTGGTTGTTCTGATTTGGGGAGAGATGGGTGTTATATCCCGACGAGAATAGTGAATGTGAACTGTTGGGATCTATTTATGGATCAATACTAAACGTATATTTTTATCGTATAATTGTTAAGTAGCCAAACTATTCATATTCATGTCCCTCTTATTATAAGCTTTATTTTGACTCATCAACTATTATTATACGATTCGCCCAGTTTATTAATCGTAGTCTCCCACATTCACAGCCACATTTGGCTCAATCTTGTATAAATGTTGTTTCACATATTATGGTACGATGTGGTTTGTTTGATTGGTATATAAAGTCAGTATTTTTGAAATACATGATTCATATCATAAAGTCTGAGATTGGTGTTCTGGACTTAACAGGCAGAGCTAGGCAAGAAGCAGGACCAAACAGGACTCTAGACTGTTCGTAATTGTTTTATGCGTCATTGATCCGGACGATAATTCTTTGTTCTCCAATTGCCTATATCGTTATATTAGATATTCATAGGACAACAGGGCTACAATTTATAACAATGGATAAATTGTATCGTTCAATAATTACTAGATATTAGAAGAACGTGACAATAATAAGTTTTATTTGAACTTACATCAGACGGATAAGGCATATGAGGCGATGTTCCACAATCCACATAAATCTTCAAAGAAGAAGAAGAAGAAGAAGAACAAATCAAATTACCAATTGATTCTTATCAATAATAATCAAGCAACAATAAATCACACTGACATATATCATACTACTAAAAATAGGTGCGTTAGTAGTAGTTCAACAAACAGAAGAATTTTTCAACAACAAAAGAGTAAACAAATAAGAAACTAACTCAGCTCACTGCAATGACTAATTTCAATAAAATAAAACACACTCAGTGAAACAAAAAAAACAAAATGAAAACCCAACTATACACATGAACAAGATAAATGACATTTCAAATACACATTACTGAATTGTGATTATAAGTAGTATATCCATATAGCCTGTAATGGATCATGGAAATTGAAATTCAATATTCAACGATTTAAAAGTTTTTCATTTTTTTTTGTATAAAAACAAACAAACAATCACTTCACTAAATTTACACAATTGTAGTTCACTTTATGATTTTATTGAATTAAACGCATAAAGATTGGTACAAGGAGGCATCAAATAGATATGTGCTACATAAATCATACGATTTGTGTGAGGGTTGAAATATTACTCGGGTGCGCAAATCGAAAGAGATGGTTTTCTTAGGAAGTCATATCTGAAGCCTCCGACCTGAAAATCTGATCCACTCTTGGCCGTACCAGGACAGGGGGCTTGCAGCTCAGTAATTATTGATGAATAAGAATGTAGTTTCATCTGAAATGTTTCAACCTGTATATACCCTCCCCCTAAAATATGAATGAAGATTGTTGAAGACTGTAATAACTTTAATAGCTGAATTCATGAGTCCATCTAAGGTAGATGGAGACATTTATCTACTTTAGACAATGGATGAAAGATTGCAAAAGATCATGGATCGATTGAAGTTAGACAGCTGGATGTTAGCCAGCTCAGTGGTCTAGATGTTAAGCGTTCATGCATGGGACCGAATGTCATTGGTTCGAGTTCTGCATGTGAGGTTGAGGATGGGCATTTCTAAAGAGTCTCATAATAGGACGGAACGGCCATCCAGTACTTCCAAGTTTTCAATGGTGGCCTAACATCAATAGGTTCATGATCTGAATCAAAAACTTAATAATCTCCACAACCCTATACTGAAAGCAATTTGACTAAATATTGAAATACACTTGATTGTATTTGATGATTAGCTTTTTCTCAGATCATATTGATTATTATTATTATGTGTATTCTTAAAAAGTCCTTTTATTAATCAACCTGGAAGTTGGTTACATTGTTTTCTTTTAAACTTATCAAGTTTCTAGCAGCCTAAAAAGCTATTCTGGTTAATTTTATGAAATTTACCGATAATTAACTTTATTAAGTTGAAGTGGTTTTGTGAAGAATATTTTATTGTGTAGAAGATATTCAACTCCGCCTGAAGTACCTCCAGGGGCTACTACCGGTCCCAAGCCTGGATAAAGGAGTAGGGTTGGGTTAGCCAGAAAAAATTATTCAAGTAAGAAAATATTCGTCAGGAATCGATCTCAGTTGAAAAAATATACCACTGAAAGATCAAGAATTATTGAGGAATAGTTTTGTACTTATAGGGGGTTCTTTAGCAGTAAACACCAACAACCCAGTAGGAGATAGAGGTCACTATCTTTAGCTCTCCTAGTGAACACTTAATCATTAAAATCGAATGATACATATTTGTAACTTCAACTAATCAAGACGATTATCCAATATCATTGGTGATAAGTATTTCATTATAAACATATCCAAACTTCGTTGATTTTGACTTCACAATAGATCTAAAGGAATATATCTTAAGTGCTTATACTTCAATACTGAGACTTTCATTTGTATCAGCCCATTTCACAAAGAATAATGTCTACAATAATTATAAAATTCATATAATGAAATTATTCAGTTTAGTTAATTTAAACTCTAAATCATTAAAACAAATCTACTTTAAGTGAACTATTCTTTTTATCAGTTTATACAGTCAATTAGATATTAGTAAATTCTAGACGAAGTATGTCTCTTTTCCATTTCCATTCAGGATTTCAAGTTAGCAATTGCCTCGTGATGAAGTCTGCAATGTATGTCCGCTGGAAGTGCATTTCAGAAATCAACAAACTGCATCACGAATCAAGCGCTAACTTGGCATCTTGAAAAAGAAACGGAAAAGAGAAAGACTAAAGAACACAGTGTGTAGATATTTAGGTAACCCTCGTGCTATTGATAGAAGAAACCAAATAAGTAGTGAATAAGTCTTTATTTCGATCTTCGCACAGTCACAGTGGAACATGGGATTATCTGTTCAGACAAACAAAGCCTCTTAATATTCAATTTAAGATAATAGGAAATACAACGCCTATACAAAATAAAGAAGTGAATGAATATTTGAAATATACTGTTTTGACATATGCTTAGTTGTTTGATGTGAACTCTTAACCAATCAAACTAAGCTGTTACAGATATTCGGAAGCAGAAATGTAAAGGATGAATAGTAAATGGAAACAACTGAAAAGAATTTTCCAGGATAGAGTTGAATGAAGAATGCTAGTGGGCGGCCGACGCTCTTCCACGAGGAGTAACAGGCATAAGCATATAAATTTTGATATATCTATGAAAATAATATCAATGTTTATTATTTTAATAAAAAAAACTATCTCACAATAAACCAAACACACCGACCCACCTTCAACAAACCCCCCCGTCAAAAAAGCACAACAAATACATATCACAAATGTAGATCGTTAAACATAAAAGTAAATCATAATAATAACTGATTGCCAAATATATTTAGATTAGTAAGCTGGTGAATTATATAAGACAGTTATAGAAACAACAAAAATGATTAATTAACTGGCTGATTATAAGAGTAAACCGGTGCATTGAAACATGTGAAATAACACACAGAACTAATATACACGTATACACATATACAAACACACACACACACACATAGAAATGTACACACACAGACACACGTTACTATGTGCATTGTCTATATAACTTCTTAATTTATATATACATATTTACCTTTTCTCTTTCTTTGGCTAACTCTTTAACAATAGCTTCTAAACTATATAGTTTTTCATATAATTCTGTTGGTACACCCAAACCTTCTAGTTCACTACGATCTGCTTTTTGTTTTATAATTCCCTAAAAGAATCCAATGAAGATATAAATATTAGATCATTATGTGTTGTGTATTGTTTAAACGATTGACATTATATCATATTCTGTTCTAAGAAAAGAAGGAAATGGTCCTCAAAGAAAGAAAGAAGCATAGATAGATAGATGTGTGGATAGATAGATAGATAGATAGATAGTGTGGTTGCTTTCAATGATGAATTTAATATTCATCAACGTTGGTTAACTTGTGAATATTCAACATTTGTGATATGAATGAATAAACTGTCGGTGGTTTTTTCTTGGTCGGTTTAATGTGTCGAGTCTTAGTGAACTTTGATTGATTGGTAAGAGGAACGAAATATATATATATATATATATATATATATATATATATATATATATATATATATATATATATATGATACAGTACACAATATTGTAAACTCTCTTACATTATAGACTTCATTAAATCACTTATTGTACTCTGAATTCTTGATTCTGTTAATAAACGACTGTCTACTTTTTGATTTTAATAGTTGAGATCATGAGTCAATTGAAACTAGATCACCATGGAAAACCTGTAAACACTGGACGGCCGTTTCGTCCTACTGTGGGACTCGTTAGCAGTGCGCATCCACGATAGCGCCTTGCAGGATTCGAACTCAGGACCTATTAAACTTACTATAATATCCACAAAACCCCTTCTGATACTTTTAATTGCTGGTCAAAATTGTGTATCTAAGTGTTTCGATCATGTGCTCAGTTGTATTATCCAGTCTAATACTAGTGTTTCAAGCTGCCGTATCTTATATCCAGTATTCACGTACTATTGAGTATCGACAAAACATTTATTTTTTAGTATGAGGTTATGGAGATTGTTGGTATTATGAACTGATCAATGTTAGATTACGATTGAACTGCCATTTCATCTTAGTATGGGACTGACCAGAACTGTACATTCACACAACCCTGCACACGGGAATAAAACTAAGGACTTTTGGTTTCGTGTGCAAATGCTTAACCTTTAGACCATTGGGCCGGCATTCAATAATGTTACTATCTAACTTTAATCAGTCCACAACAATGCGTGACTGTCTTTATTTATCTTCGATGAATACTTGCCTCACATTCGATATAATTTAGTTCCACTAGTTAAGTCTCTTCACTAAAACTAAGAAAATTACCTCTCAAAGCTGGTCACTAATAAACGTCAGAACGGGATTGTGATGATAGTTGAGTATCACTAAAACCATGAACCGTTACATAATGTGTGGTATAAATCACATAATTCGATTGTTCCATTCTCAATAGTCGCTTGATTGTGTTACTATCCAATTTTTCTTTTGTTAGTTAATACTTTAAAAGATTTTTTGGATACCTCTCTAATTTACAAGTGATTTCATTCACAGATAGATGCTATTTGATGTTTACTTGATTTACAAGGACTTGATAATTACTTTGTTCCTGTTAGAACCTTTCCTAGAGTGTGCACCTAAGACACTGCTAGGAGTTGGAAATGAAACTTCCATGTCTCGTAGGAAACTTGTTAATGTCAGATCATTAAATTTATCTCCTGTGACTTATACTCTTAATTCCAATCAGTTTACAATATTGCATAACCATTACACAGTGTCATTACTGCATCATGTTAGTTTGTTACTAGAACAGGTTTTCAATGGTGGTCTAGCTTCAACTGACTCATGATTTCAACCAGTGAAATTTCATAAACTCTCCACAAAACCCATTCTGATAATAATCAACTGCTCACGAGTGACTGACTTCAGGAAAAACTCCTGGAGTTCTAGTGAGAAGCCGTTACCAGTGGAGTTCAACCGGTCTGTTGTGAGATAACAACTCACTGAAGACAATGGTGTACGGTGGCGCAACTTCGTGGATTGGTTGAAGTTAGACATTAACACCGTTGGATGCCGGCTCAGTGGTCTAGTGGTTAAGTGCTCGCGCGCGAAGCCAGTAGGTCCTGGTTTCGAGCTTCGCGTGGTGTGGGATCGTGGATGCGCACTGCTGAGGAGTCCCATACCAGGACGAAACGGCCGTCCAGTGCTTCCGTGTTTTCAATGGTGGTCTAGCTTCAACTGACTCATGATTTCAACCTGTGAAATATCCAATATGCCCAGATTTCTAATCACACTTAAACTGATGTCAATTCAAGACAAATAGCTGTTATATGAAAAACGACACAAATGATTTACAACAAAAAGATTACAACAATAATGACAGTAATAAGAAAGATAGTCAGTCAGTCAGTAAGCTATAACGTAGTGCCAAGTACAATAATATATATTGGTGATTATGTGCATGTAAGTTATAAAATATTCCGTTTATGGATGTGTGCACATGTATGTACATTAACTAACCTTTTCTAAATCTGTGTCTTGATGAACAGAGATCTAAAATAAGAATTGGTTTTCTAAATAATAGTTTTCCTTATAAGAAAAATCACTTTCTATGCTTAAGTCAATTTTATCCATGTCAAATTACGTAACATATATAAACCTTGATTGGTATAGAAGTAGGTTAAGAAGCAAATTAGAAATGACTAAGCTAAGATGAAACATTAGTTGATAAAATCACTGACTAAGTAGGTTTCTAAGCTGTTCTTTTTCTGGTTAACGTTTTTTTAGCGGGTTAGTTTTTTACAGGAGAGAACTAGATCCCAGCGGATGAATAAATCAGGAAGAGGCACTGGAAGTGGATAGGACACACATTGAAGAAAGCATCGAACTGAGTAACAAGACAAGACCTCAAATGGAATCCTCAAGGCCAAATGAGAAGAGTAAGAGAAAAGAATATATTACGCCGAGAAATGGCGACAAGCGTGAGAAGAATGAACGACAGTTGGATAGAACTAGAAGAGAAGTCCCAAAACAGAGTGGCTTGGAGAATGCTGGTTGGCGGTCTATGCTCCATTAGGAGTAACAGGAGTAAGTAAGTAAGGCTGTTCTCTTCATATGTGAGACAAACTATTATTCTTAATGTAGCAGAGTTTGGTACAACATAGAACTATCAGCACAAAGTATTTGAACAAGCTTCGGTTTCTTATTTCTTGATAGATCCTAACGATAAATATTGAGTGATAGCCAATTAGAAGTTAGCAGTCTAGTTAACTGACATCTAAATAATGTACATTCTTTTCGCTGCATATTACCAGCAACCCTGATGTCTCTGATTAGGCTCTTTTGTAAGTTGTACAGTAAAATATTTTAAACCTTCCACAAATGGATCGGAATAGGTTGCTTGAACAACAAACATAATGATATTCAATTGATATTGTTTTACTTGAATCTTCCCATTGATGTTTTAGGACTAAAATTGATCAGTCTCTTATTGGAATATGTGCATACTGTGCGTATGCCTCGATATTGCCTTAATTTACAAGCATTATATGCAAAGATGGATAGTGGCTAGCAGTGGAATCCAGAGTGAATATCAACTCTGAGATGCAGGTACATTCAGCTGACGAGTTCCAAACAGGACGAAACGCGCATCAAACTGCATTCCACTGCTAGCCACTATCCATCTTAACATAATGATATGTTCAAACAAACAAAAACAACTTGTTGAAATATCTAAATGACAGGAACAAGTAGACCAGATATTCAAACTGGCCACCTATACTAACTCATTAACAAAATGTTGATCATATGTGACAAAACATTTACATATGGTACTTTTCATTAGAATATTTTAAATATATATTTTTTTGTTTTAATCATACGCTTTATCGATTTGTTCAGTGTCTTCTAGGAATAACTGACGACCAATCCCCAAATGTTATTGCAACACAATATTAAACGTTAATGTATATTCTATCCAGCATAACTTGCATTGTCTCTTCTCTTAATAAACATAATCATGATGAAGAAGATTTGTAGCTCAAATGGATGAATTTTATTGAGTTTTGTTCTCTGAGCTGAATAGTTTAGTCTTGGAGCTTTCATCGGTTCTTTTGAACCACATCATCAGCACAAACTTCAAATAGACGATGAAGACTCCACAACCAAACCATCCATCTCAGAGAACAAAACTCCATGAAAAAGAAGATAATCATTTTGGATAGTCCAAATTTTTATTTATTCTTTATTCAGTTTATTTGCTAGTATAATTGATTATGAAGATTATTATTAGGTAATTCCTTGAGTGACGATGAAGTGACCTTTAGAGTGGATACCTACAAATTAGAACTAAATGATAGTTATCAAAGGAATTAGGATTCTCATTTACAGTTGATAGTTAAGGTTAAAAAATCGATTTAGAGTTTTCATCACGAACTGATATCAACTTTAATGCTAAAACTCTATTTAGTCAAATGTATGAATGAATTTCGCGCCAAAATTCGTAACTCCAATTGATTGATCACTGGGTGGTGATCAATGTCTTGCTTGTCTAGTCCTTATTAATGCTGATCGAATGCTATCGATCATGTTGCAATGTGGCCACCAGTTTAGGTGACTCGACACTGCGGGCACTATGTATTGAGATTTACATGGTGGTTGGAGGTAGTCAACAGGAAACCCTGGACCCGGGTTTCGTGCTACTTGGCACTCGTCAGCAAGGTGTACCTGTAATCTTGAGGGAACTGGTGCTCCCTGGCGGATTCGATCTCGTGTCACCCAGCTTCACAGTCAGAGATGTTACCACTGAGCTATCCGAGCCGTAGAGCTATCAGAGCCGGAAAGTTCCAAAATAACAATCAATTATGTGTTATATCTTGATCAGATAACTACACATGTTATAATTCATTATAACATGTTTCTAGTCGCATACAGTGTATCAAGATCATCCATAAATCTTTAGTGACCTATTTTTATCAAGAGAATGCGATTGGTTTAATGGAAACAATTACTATCATAACCAATTGTACCAGTGATTGTTTTACTGTACTTGTTTGTTTAACTGTACTAACGACATACTTTCTTCCGTTGATTGTGATCTTGCACGCACTTACGTTTACTCAGTGATTCCGCTTGTACTCCTTTGGCACGATCTCGGTATTCTTTCGATACCATGAGATTGCCAACAAATATATCTCACTACAACCTTCAATTGCCTTCTGATATCTGGTACGCAACCTTCTTGTAGTAGTGATCATAGTCAACCGTGACTCGATGCCACACTACAAATCCATAAACATTTCTTTATATTCATCATATGAACTTACTTAATTCATTATTAGAACTTATAGAGTGTTGGCCAACTAGAGGTTAGGAGTTTGGTAATCGACATGTGAATAATGTACATTCGTTTCAATACATATTGCCAGCCACCATATTTTCGCTGATTGTACCTTTTTGTAACCCGTATAGCGAAGGGTTGTAAGCTTTTCATAAACGCGCCTGAATAGGTTGTGAGCTCAATATACATAAAATGATATGTTAAAACAAACCAGGTAATAGATACCTTGACGAAATATCTAGATGGGAGGAACAGGTAGCTCAGATATTCAAGCAGGCCGCCGATGAGTTATGATGAGTTATTCATTCGTAGAATGTACAGCGTAAATCAGTTTATTCTCTTCATGTTCTGATTGACTATTGGTGATTGAGTGGAGTTGTGTTGACCATTCAGTGTCAAAACTTCCGGTCATGGATGTAGGTCATTTGTGTTATTCGTTAAGGAAAAGTTGATAATCTGGTTAGTAGAAAGTGAAATTGTCGCTAAACTACTCTATGGTTGAGCTGCTACTTATAAGTAGTAAAACTAGTAATAATAAACAAAACGAAGATTAAATAAAAATAGTAAAACTTTAAGTGTATTTACTTCAAGTTGTTCAATTCGATTAACTACTGAATCAAATCCAGAGGCTACATTTCCAAGTTTTCGAAGTGTAGACGATAGATCCGGATCTGGACATTCAAGCTAGATGATGAATAAACAGAAAATAAACAAATTGATCATATATAGTTATTTCGTATCGTTTTACTCAATAATATTTTGATTTCATATTATTACGTATCAGTGTTAGGAATGTGAATTCAGATCAACTGATTCCATAATCTTGGACTGACTTAATCACATAACAAGCTTCAATTGGTTTACTTTTTCTACGAATCTGGTAAGAAAATCAATATCAGATTCGACAGCTTTCCTTTACTACCTAGAATATTGACAGATGTAAATTTTATCGGACTGAAAAGTTGTTGTTAGATCATCAGGCATAATCACAATGATCATGTTTTCATGTAATACAACAGTTCACATATAACTTATCGATTAACCGACTTCAGTCTAAAATCTAGTTGGCTACCTATAATTGAGATCATAAACTGATCAATGTTAAAATATTATTGAAAGCTTGAATTCACTTGACAGCCATTTCGTTCCAGCATAGAACTCCTCAGAAATTCCATATATATGATCGTGCATGCTCGCTATTGAAGAGCTTCATACCAGGGCGAAACGATCACCTAATTCATCCAGATTTTCAATGACAATATAACATTGATCAGTTTGTGATCTCAATTAAAACAAGATTATATATATATATATATATATATATATATATATATATATATATATATATATATATATATATATATATATATATATATATATATATCAAATGGGTTTTGTGGATATCATAGTAATTTCAGTGGTTAAGATCATGAGTCAGTTGAAGCTAGAGCAACATGGGAAACATGGAAGCACTGGACGGCCGTTTCGTCCTACTGTGGGACTCCTCAATAGTGCTCATCCACGATCTCGCCTCGCGAGATTCGAACACAAGACCTATTGGTCCCACACGTGAGAGATTAACCACCAGATCACTGAGCCGGCTGGTTCCATATTTGGTGATGTCTAACTTCAACTAATCCACAAAATTGGACGAAACATTCACCATTGTCTCACAACAGACCTGGTTGAACTCTACTGGTCACTACTTCTCACTAGAACTCCAGGATATACCACTTGAAGCCAGTCATTAAGAGGTCCCACAATGGGACGAAACGGCCGTCAAGTGCTTCCAGGTTTTCAATGGTGTTCTAGCTTCAACTGACTCATGATCTTAACCACTGAAATATATATAAGATTTTTAGTGATCTTTAATGTTCAATTTCTTGTCTATTCATATGGGAAAAACAAACATTTATCATTTAAATGTCATGTAAATATTTGTATAATTAACAAATACCTTAGTTAGTCTTTAACTATAAACATGAAAAGAACAAAGAAAAAAGCTATGGAGAAGAAATGCCACAATGAATATTATAAACATAAGAGAACAGATCATTAATCATTTGTACATTCCTGTTATTGTCAGTTATAATTCAAACATATGCACATATATATGTTAACAGATATTGAATACAACTTAACCACTAGACCATTGAGCCGGCGAAACCAGTAGGTCCTAAGTTCTAATCTCGCAGGGAGCGAGGTAGTGGATGCGCACTGCTGAGGAGTCCTACAATAGGACGAAACGGCCGTCCAGTGCTTCCATGTTTCCCATGATGGTCTAGCTTCAACTGACTTATAATCTTAACCATTGAAATAGTGTAATTGTTTTGTAATTACTTGTTAAATTTTTTTCTTTTTCTTTTGTTTACATACATACGCCATTTTTTGTCTACTGATCTATAAACATCGGATGGAATCGTTTATTTTTAGTGATTAACATTATCTTATAAATTGTTGGTATTCCTTAGTATGACGTAAGATATATATGTATAAATAAGTGATATTTAGTAAAGCTTAAAGATTCGAAGAAGACAAAAATTAAGATTGTGGATGCGCATGGCTGAAGAGTCCCATATTGGGACAAAACGGTCGTCCAATGTTTTCACATTTTCCATGGTGATCTAGCTTCAATTGACTCATGATTTCAACCAGTGAAATTTCCAAAATCTCCACAAAACCTCTTCTGATAATAATCATCTGCTCACGAGTGACTGACTTCAAGAGATACTCCTGGAGTTTCTTGTGAGAAGCCATTACCAGTAGAGTTCAACCGGGTCTATTGTGAGAAATCAACTCACTGAAGACAATGGTGTACGGTGGCGCAACTTCGTGGATTGGTTGAAGCTAGACATTAACACCGTTGGACGCCAGCTTAGTGGTCTAGTTGGTCAAGCGCCTGGCGCGAGACTGAGAGGTCCTGGGTTCGGATCTTGCAGGGTGTGGGATCGTGGATGCGATTTGCTGAAGAGTCCCACAATAGGACGAAACGACCATCCAGTGTTTCCAGGTTTCCCATGTTGCTCTAGCTTCAATTGACTCATGAACTCAACTATTAAACTTACTATAATATCCACGAAAACCCCTTCTGCTGATACTAAATATTTATTTATTTTGCTCCTTCGTACTACTAAAATTTGTGTTTATTTAATTTGATTATTTGTTTATTCATTGATGAGATGACATAAATGAAGTCGCAAAAGAGTCAGAACTTCAAATTTTCCTATTTATCGAAGGAGGTATCACATATATATCAGTTAATTGTCAGAAATCTATCATGATTCACTCAGCTAGTCAATCAGCTACAAAGTAGGACCAGACTCATAAATGTATCGGTCCAAGTTGCTATACCCCATTAGTACAACAGGATGAACACCGAACTCGTCTTTTACAATCATGGTAAAAAGGATTTTGTTACTAAGTCTTTTTTAATAGTTGAAATCATAAGTCAATTGAACCTAGATCACCATGGAAAGCCTGGAAGCACTGGACGGCCGTTTCGTTTTATTGTGGGACTCGATATCAGTGCGCATCCACGATCCCGCCTCGCGAGATTCGAACACAGGACCTATCGATCCCACACGCGAGAGTGTAACCTCCAGATCACTGAGCCGGCATCTAACGGTGTTAATGTCCACGAATTAGAGTGACACATTCATCATTGTCTTTAATGAGTTATTATCTCAAAACAGACGCTCAATTTCATGGATTAGTTGAAGTTAGACATTAACACTGCTGAATGCCGGCTCAGTGGTCTTTTTTTGTATTGAAAATAACCCACTTCCAAGTAGTTTGTTGAAATTCAAAGGGAATGAATTACTTTAGAGAAATAAAAAAAACCAACATAGCAACCAAGCATTCATTATAATCAATATCAAAATCAAAGATGCAATTCTATAAAGAATAACATAACAACTTACAAATTCTTCTGGTAAACACTTTGTTAAACGATTTGATTCCTCTTTCATTAGATTATTATCAATAATATCGACATGATGTGATTTACTATTACTATTACCATTATTATTATTAGTAGTAGTAGTAGTATTGACTTGTGAATAAGCAGTTAAATAATCTACTCCAGTAATTGATTTGCCTAATGTATGCCAAAATACTAAACCACGTAATGCATCCATATGAACAACATTTTGTAAAAGAGCTGCTTCTTGATTCTTTAGCATAAAAAGAAAATAATAATACAATTTCGATAAGTTTAAGTAATATATATATATATATAGGGATTTGTGGAGGTTGTAGTTAGATTGAAAACTTGGAAACACTAGATGGTCGTTTTATCATAGCATGAAACTCCTCAGTTGGACACCAACATTGTTGGATGGCGGCTTAGTTTTCTAGAGGTTAAGCTATTTTGTATGAAACTGAAGGTTTTGGATTCAGGTCCCATGTACGGGACCGTGAGTGCACATTGATGAGGATCATCATACTAGGATGAGACAGTCGTCTAGTGTTTCTAGGTTTTTAATGTTGGTCTAACATTGGTCAGTTCATGATTTTTATGAAATCTGACAATAACCAAAATTCCAAACTGATGGTAAATTATCTTTATCTTTTCATTAATTGTCAATCATATATTTGACCTTGTCAAATTACTCACAGGTAACCTTGATCATGTTTTACATTTCTGTATCATGATACATAGATCTCTCTCTGCTTTCTGTATTTCTTCGATGGTTATGAAAGAGGAAGTCAGCTTACTATTCTCTGAGTCGGTGTATAATCGAACTCCAATACATTATATAATCTCAGCATCTTTCGTTTTTGCTTATCAACATTAACATGTATGAAATGTGTGTATCCTAAATGTATTCCTTTGATAAACTGTCATTCTAAACGTGTAAAATTGACAGAACATATACAAAGTCATTTTTAAGCAAAGATGGATAGTGGCTAACAGTGGAATCCAGGATACGCGTCACATCCTATTAAGGACTCGTTACCTGGATGTACCTGCATCCCAGAATCCATGTTCAAATAAGATAATATTTATTTCATTTGTATCAATATCATCTGATTATAATGGAGTTAGACAACACCAGCATTAAACACATTAGAAACTTCTATCATTCTATGAATCACTGATAATATGATTATTTAGCGTTCAATGAAAAGGTGAAAAGGAATGAAGATTTACTTATTCATTCATTGCATAAGATCTTCATTAAAAAGATGTAAACAACTATAACATTGTGTCTTTTAATCATTTAAAGCAAAGTTATAGGTTTTTTTCTGGAAACTGTACTGAAGCGAACGATACTGGGTTCGAGTCCCAGAGTGAACATCAACTCTGGATGCACATCCCAAATAGCACGAAACGCGCGTCTTTGATTCAACTACCAACCACTATCCATCTTTGCTCATAATGCTTGCGACTTAAGGCAATATTGAGGCAATACGCACAATATGCACATTAGCCGATAAAAGACTGATCAATTGTAGCCCTAAGCAACAATGGGAAGATTCCAGTAAACAATACCAAGTGAATTTAATCCATTTGTATTCTTAGACCGTTATATTGATTTTCTTCACTTCACAAATTACATTTAATATGATAGTGATTATAAATAATGTCAATAGTTTCATAGAAACCATTAACGGGACTTTTAAACTAACCTGACGTTTTTCAATTTCACCTAATTTTCGTGTTAATTCAGCCAATTGATCCTTTAATGCAGAGTTTAATAGTGCCTATTTTTGTTAAGAAAAAACAAAGCATAGTCAATCTAAAGGCAATAGTCAATGTATAATAAATAGAAGTTAATTTATATCAAAGAGTAAGTTTAACTAGATACTTACTAAGAGATGCTGACTCAATTTTGTGGATTGGTTGGAGTTAGACATTAACACCGTTTACCCCCTAAATCCCCTGGTGCAGCCGAGAGTGAATAAAGTTAACTTTTCCTCTCGAAATGCTCTCAAGTGGTCACGTGCATAAAACCACTGCGAGAAAAGTCTTACTCATTGCCTTCTCGTAAGGGGGATGTTGTCTACAAAATTGAGAGGACGAAAAGTGAATATCCGACGCTTTAATTGGGTCGCTGGATATGAAGTATTTACCTAGGGGAGTTGGAAAGCCCTGATTCGAAACCAATGGTGCACATGGGCTCCAGGATCCTAAGGAAATGAATGGTTATTATTATTATTATTATTATTATTAATGGCTTTATGAACTTATTGTTGGTCACCAGCTACTGTATGACTGCATCTCGTTACGTTGTTCCAGTGCCTTGTGGATGAGACCATTATGTCGAAGGCTGGAGGAGTGGCCCTCTAAGAAAACCATGTGGTTTGGTTTGGGCACCCGAGCAATATCCAAGTCCTCACATAAATCGGATGATTTATGTGGCGCATATCTATTTGGTGTCTCTTTGTATCAATGTTTATGTGTTTAAATAACTAAATAAATAAATAAAAAATACCGTTGGATGTTGACTTAGTCGTCTAAAGGTTAAGCGTTCGCGCACAAGGCCGAGGGTTCTGGATTCAAATTCCGCGAGTGGGATCGTCAAGGTGCACTGATGAGGAGTCTCATATTAGGAAGAAACGGTTTTCCAGTATTTCCACATTTCCCATGGTGGTCTAGTTTTAATTAACTCATGAACACTTATTTATTTTAGTTAGAAACATCACAACCTCGTCGGGGGCTAACTATAGATTTGTAATTATCATTAGGTTTAGATCATTCAATTGACATTTTGTGTTATACATTTCCAACTTTAATCAATTTATGATTCTAAGTTATCATTATTAGAATCGGGTATTGTTGTTATCATTCTGAAAACAATCAATACACTCTATGGATTACAGCTCTTTGTTAGAACTTCATGAATTTAAACGAAACAAAAATAATGCCAAATAAATAATTCGATGTTTATCATAAGACAAAGTCGATATAACTTTTGTTTACAATTAGATGTTAGTCGTTACAAGATAATGTTGCTCATATTAATTCATAAGGAAAACTATGAATATAAGTTCTATTAAGAAAATGTTGAAGTACTGGGCAGAGATCATGTGAACATAATCAGAGAATTAACAATTCAGTCAAACATTGATCTATGAACATATAAGAAGAATAATTAACAACTGCAAAGTCAGAGATTAGATCAAGAAAGACGATCTTCTAGATGAACACAGAAATATTGATTATCAAGTTATGGACAACAACAAACCGAATTCCAAGTCAATAAAATAAATGTGACAAAATTGTGACAAAATTTTAATAGCTCATTCCTTATTGAAGTGTGGCGCAACTTTGTGGATTGGTTGAAGTTAGACATTAACACCGTCGAATGCCGGCTCAATGGTCTAGTTTGTTAAGCGCCTGGCACGAGACTGATAGGTCCTGGGTTTGGATCTTGCGGGGTTCGGGATGGTGGACGCGCACTGCTGAGGAGTCCCATACTAGGATGAAACGGCCGTCCAGTACTTCCAGGTTTTTCATGGTGGTCTAGCTTCAGTTGACTCATGATTTCAATGAGTAAAATAGACATTTAGACGTAGATATTTATCAATCTACATTACATAGATCAACAAATCAAGTTTCCAGAAATCAACCAAATAAGATAGTCAACAAGGATACAAAGACAAATGAAACTGATCAAACTTTTGAAGACAACGTCCATAGTATAAAGAAACGGTTCAATTCCATCATTTATGATTGCCAATGTTACAATCATTTACTGGGGTTGTTGACCCTATACCTAACTCTCTTCCTTAACCCGGGCTTGGGACCAGCAGTAATAACCATAGAAGAGCTACAAGCAGACAAACTGCATCACAAAGCAAGTGCTAAATTGAAATCCTGAAGAGAAACGGAAAATAGGATGATCAAAGAACATACTGCATCGAGAATTGGAAGCAGACAACAAAAGAATGAATATCAACTGAAAACAACTGGAAAGAATTGTACAGGACAAAGTTGGATGGAGAATGTTGGTGGGTGACTTATATTCCTCCACGAGGAGTTACAGTAGTAAGTAGGTAAGTAAGTAACTATTTACTAACTAGAAATGATGAGACATTGAATGAGGATCATTCTACATTATTAAGTCAGTTAAAGTGAGAAAGTTTTCCTTATTTAATTCCTACTAAATAGATTGGTTGTACTATGACCATTAAGAGATATGAAGATGTTAAATTGAGTCTTTTGTATGATCACAGAGTTTATACTACTGAGAAGTCTTGAACTAAAACGAATCAATTACTTAATACCGATTAACAATCAATAATTTTGCACTTGACATAATTTCGTGATAGAAATTATCCATGAATATCAATTATCTCTGTGTGTGTGTCAATTGTCTAAGGAAAGAGATAGACAGATGCAACGATGTGATGACTGACACAATACTGTATATATATTAGTTCAAAGACACGATAAATCTTAGCAATGAATATTCACTAGAGAATGAGTATGAACTTAGAAGATCTTTAACAGTGATATTCAGATCACGCGATTCATCCTACTTTAACATTATCAACTAAATATTCTTTGATTATCAAATTGATATTCATATCAAGATTTGAAACTCAATACCTAACCGTTTAATTACTATTATATTCCCTAACCACCTATTTGATTCAAATTACTATCCACTTATTCAGTAGAATGGATCAATTATAGTCAATTAGTGAGATGATGGAGAAGATTTGTAGCTCAGGTGAATGAATTTGATAAAGTTTTGTTCTCTGAGCTGGATGGTTTAGTCATAGAGTTTTCATCGTCAATAAGAACTAATCAACATCGAGGTGTACAGAACAAGTTGTAAAACGTATATGGAAAAATTCGAACACTTCATTTCTATCTGAAGTTTGTGCTGATGATGTCGTTCAGAAGAACAATGAAAGCTTCACGACCAAACCATCTAGCTCAGAAAACAAAACTCCATCACAGTCAATTAGTATCAACAATGGAAGAATAAGAAGGAAGAGGGACGGAGAACTAATGAAGTCTTAAAAAAGTCGAAATCAATAATTCATTTTAACATTATTCCAATATTATTGACCAGATAATTATAGTCCTCATTAAAAATGTATGAGTTAGATAGTGAAGAAAAAGGGAATAAAGAAAAACATACTACTGATATTACTACTACTATCTAATAATGAATAAATTTTTAATGAGAAGCCTAGGAAAATTATTATTATTATTGAATATTGATTCATTTGTTTTAATGTAGTGTTTTTATATAATAGAAAGAAAAAATTATAATGCCCGACAATATTAGCATAGGAATCTACATCTGAATTGAAAATAAACACTGTAGATTATAAACAAAGATGAATAATGGTTAGCAGTGAGATTTAGATGGTGGTTGGAGGTAGTCAACAGGAAAACCTGAACCCGGGTTTCGTGCTATTTGGCACTCGTCAGCAAGGTGCCCGCAGTGTCGAGTCACCTAGACTGGTAGCTACATTGCAACATGATCGATAGCATTCGATCTGCACTAATAAGGACTAGACAAGCAAGAAATTGATCACCACCCAGTGATCAATCAACTGTAATTACATCTCAGTCCTACAGGAGGTTAGTCACGGCTCGGATAGCTCAGTGGTAACGTCTCTGACTGTGAAGCTGGGTGACACCAGATCGAATCCGCCAGGGAGCACCAGTTCCCTCAAGATTACAGGTACACTTTGCTGACGAGTGCCAAATAGCACGAAACCCGGGTCCGGGGTTTCCTGTTGACTACCTCCAACCACCATGTAAATCTCAATACATAGTGCCCGCAGTGTCGAGTCACCTAGACTGGTAGCTACATTGCAACATGATCGATAGCATTCGATCTGCACTAATAAGGACTAGACAAGCAAGACATTGATCATCACCCAGTGATCAATCAACTGTAATGGTTAGCAGTTGAATCTAGGTGGCGTATTTCATCCCATTTTGGACTCATCAACTGAATGTACCTGTATCCTAGAGTGAATGTGCACTACGGGACTTGAACTTAGTACCGTTTTCTTCAAATTCTATTGTATTATCTACTTAGCTACTATGTTCTAATAGCTACATGCTTGTGCAATAAAAGAAGATAAAAGTAAACAATACCAAATGACTGAAGAGTATATTTCATCAGTGATGGGTTTTTTTTCTTTTGTCTTTTATTTATTTTCAATCTATAATACAATAAATTATCGATTATCAATGATCAATTCTCATACAACTTGATGATTATTGTCGTTTCTATTTTGATTTACTTAATAAACTATACGAATAAATTTTTATTCTTATGTACTAACATAAGAAAAGATATAATCACCCCTTTCACTTACAATCTCAAAGTGTAAATAGTACTTCATCTAATTAGTGCATATATAACATTAGAAAAGTACATTGTGTCTTTTATTACAGTCAAATGAAGACAATAAACAAATATCAGAATGAGATTTTGTGGAGATTTTAGGAAATTTCACAAGTTGAAATCATGAGTCAATTGAAGCTAGACCACTATGGAAAGCCTGGAAGCACTGGACGGCCATTTCGTCCTAGTATGGGACTCCTCAGCAGTGCGCATCCACGAACCCGTCCCCCCCCTCACGAGATTCGAACTCAGGGCCTACTGGCTTCGCGAGCACTTAACTATTAGACCACTGAGCCGACATTCGACGGTGTTAATGTTTAACTTCAACCAATCCACGAAGTTGCGCCACCGAATAATAAATAAACAAACATTATGCACAATGTACTTTAAAATCAATTATTTATAAACATATTGAATATAAAGTTTATTTTAATAGTTGAGATCATAAATCAATTGAAGCTTGGTCACCATGGAAAACCTGAAAGTACTATACGGTCGTTTCGTCCTACTGTAGGACTCCTCAGCAGTGCTGAATGTGTCTATTATTTAGTAAACATTTTTTTCAAAAAGGTAACATCAAAGACTGATGATATGTTTATTGGATATTCTTAAAATCTTTAAACATGTGTACAAAGCTTGAGCATAGAACTCCGCCTGTTTCTCTTCTAGAGTTACTGCCAGTCCCAAGCCCGAATAAAGGAGGAGAATGGTTGGGTATGGCGTTAGCGACCACATCCTGTAGAAAACTAACCCGTTAAAAATATACTAACCAGAAAAATTCTGAGCATAGAGTAACATGTTTTAAAATGGAAGATTCATTTTAATAAACCGTCTATCACACATTATTCATTTGTATCCTTTACTCATCAATAAATAAGTCATTTAAACTGGTCAATGAAATACTGATTACCGAAGTTATATAAGCTGTATGAATGCACTTCGACAATATCTAGTTTTAGTCTGAGTTGTTATCAGTTATATACATTTCAAATAGTGAAATTCATGTGGTATTGATAGAGATATCTGTTGGCATGGGATTTTCGACGGAGGCAGGATTCTTAACATAACTGAAGGCATGTGGGAATGTGACTTTCTGCTATGTTATGATACGAGACAGTCATCGAAACCCAAATGATTTCTAAAAACACATGTATGCAAAAGGATAAGTCGTCCTCAGTGATCGATAACTTCTTAAACGACACATAGGTTTGTTTTGAATTAAATTCCTTATCCATTGATTGAGACAGTCTGTCCGTAGTCGTTGTCA